AAATTGTTCAGAAAGAGACAAAAATGTGAATAATAATAATAATAATAATAATAATTATTATTATTATTATTATGTTATTATTATTAAACATCATACATCTTTATAATACACATCATCTAATAAAATAAAAAAATATTTAAATACATTTATTATATTATATTATATTATATTATATTTATTTAAATTACTTTTATATTTATGCTTTTATTTTATTAGATAATGTATATTATGTAGTTGTATGATGTTTATTAATAATAACAACAACAACAATAATAATAATACAATGTTTTATATATATATATGTGTGTGTGTGTATAACAATATTATTAATAACAATATTATTGTTATTATTATTATTATTATATCAACAATCTACAGACTGATGGGGAGGGACAAAAAGGTGCATTTTATGATATGAATTTATTATTTGTATTAGTACTATATAAGTTGCAAAGTTATAAGAGCAGCTTTTGTCTCTACCCCACCATACATACATTGTTCAAACAGAGAAAAAAATGTAAATAATAATAATAATTATTCCATAGATAAATAACTAACACACATACATACACATATAATTTTACCACCACTAAAAAAATGTTCACCATAAAAATGACTGCATTAACTTTGGAAATTTGGCTACTGTTACCATGGTCAGTTCACTTGAAACTGACAACCTATACTGCAGGTCTGTGTGAAAAATCCGGAACAGAATGACCTCAGAGGCAGACAACAACAACAGCAACAACAACATGACAGACACTTTTTGAATGACAGGATATTTGTTTGGCAGTTGGAGATGGGCCTGAGATCGAAGAGACAGGCAGAAGGTTAAAGAGAAAGAGAGCAGCCGGGCAGCCATTTGAATGCTCGCAGATGAAAGATGCCCTGCTTTAGAAGTTCAGAGGAACTGACAGACACAGACAGGATGTGTGTGTAGGAGAAAGAGAGCAGGGTGAAACAGAACAGCCTCTCAAAGGCTTTATGTGTGTGTGTTTCTGCCAAGGCATGCATGGCTTTCTCCGTGTCATTCCGGCCATGCCTGTGGAGGCTTTGGGGATCTGCTAAAGGGAAAGTATTCACTCTCGCTGGGCTAAGCAGACTACGCCATGCACGTGGGCCAGAGGGGTGGCGCTTGGGGCGGACGCAGGCGTCATCCGGTAAGCGGTCTTACAAGAAAATCACACACAGAGGATTAGCTCACCCTCCGAAGGCACCGCAATCGGCTGGTGGTCCATGGGAACAAAAACGGGAGGGCGACTGTGCCATAATGGGGGGCTAACATAGCCCTGCTCGTCTTTAGGAGTGAGGAAAACAGATAACAGATAACAGCACACAGGATAACGTGGACAAAAACATTGACAAAACACACCTTTGAGCTGTCCGTATTCCTGTAGAGGAGAATAATAACATTATTCAGTAAAGATTATATGCAAATGAGTAGATAAAATGAAACGGCACTGGCGGTGCTTTTAACTTCAGCTTATGCAGAGCAAACAATGTAAAACAGGGCTTGATTGTGAAATGCAGGCTATGATAATATTCTTTAATATCTTCCCCACCCACATTGCCTTGGTCATATCAGAAGAGGGTCATTTCTGATGTGGGAAAAAGTCATTATACTAAAAACAAATAAATCTAAAAATCTAAAATAAATACATACTTTATATATATATGTACTGTATATTGTATACTAACTAAATAAATAGGGTACATTTTGATTTCGTTTAATAAATGTCTAGGCTTTTCATTTCAGAAAAGTATGTTGGTTTTATTTAATGTATTTTATATTATATACGTTCCTTTTTTGTTCTTTCCAACCACCTGTCATATAAAGAGACATATTCACAATCCTTTCATTTTCTGATGGATAAAATCAAGACTTTTCCTACATTTATTGTCAAAGTTTCACTCAAAAATTAAACCCAAAATGGGCTGCCAGTGCTGTTTCAGGCTGAAAGCACAAGTCAATTTTGCTTTTATGATTTCTTTGAAGGAAAAGTTTACATTGCTGGATTGCAGAAAATGGATAGAACAGATTTTTTTTCCTTTTGGAGAAATTAAAAAAGTGCATAATTACATGGTGAGAACCCACCATCGTGACTGGAAAAAATTTGACCCCTTTTCTTCTGGAGTAGCTGACATTACTATAGGCAGTTAACAAGAAGACAAAACCCCAAAATAGTGGCGCTTGGTATTTAAAGTGTTTATAGTCTTCAGCTTTCAAAAATATCCAGTACAGTAGCAACAACTGCCTGTGATTGACACTGGAAAAAAGATGAGAAGAGGGAATGTCAGTGTTACAGAACAATGCCGGCGCTTTACAGTTTAATTATATGATGACATGTAAAGAATCCCATATAATCCCCTCAGCTGTGCTTGGCTTTCCGACTCCTAAATAATACACGGAAATGAACAGTGTTTTTCAAAACACATTAACCATTATTATGCCCCTGGCATGCCCAAAATCAAACATTCATGATGTAGACTGTCAGCTTTTGAAACCTGTACGTCCATATGGTGGTGTAACAAGAAGGCACCAAGGAAAACATTAAAGAGACTGTTTTACACGTTTTACTTTATGTTTGCCCTGAAGACTACATATAAAGTTAGTCAAGGTTTCTTGCATCAAAAAAGTCATAGTTTAGCTTTACATGATGTTTTTTATACTTTCTGTGAGCTGTACACTTTGCTAGCATAACTTTAAGACTTCTATATTTATTTTCTGCAATCAGAATAAGGTGTTCAAAATGGGCGTCATGTACACATTAATATGAACAAAACAGGTTTGAACTGGTCTCTCAGCCTGACCAATGCAAAAAATGTCCCACATCAGCAAGCATTCAGTTCAATTAAACTAAATGTTGTATAGCAAATTTTACATGAGCCAACGAATATATCATCTTACTATTTTGCCAAATGACTTAAAGTTTGACAAGAGACTATGAAATAAAATCTATTTTAGTTATGATATTAAAAATCATCGCTAACAGCAGAAGCTCCATGATATGCTCTTTTTTTAAAGCGATAGTTCACCCAAAAATTTAAATTCTGTCATCATTTGTTCACCCCCCACTTGTTCCAAAACTGTATGAGTTTCTTCTGTTGAGCACAAAAGAAGACATTTTGAAGACAGTTGGTAACCAAACAGTTGACGGTACCCATTGACTTCCATAGTATTTTTTTTCTATACAATGGAAGTCAATGGCTACCGTCAACTGTTTGGCTGCCAGCATTCTTTAAAGTTGACATATCATGAAAATCTGACTTTTTTCATGTTTAAGTGCTAATCTACCAACCCTGAAAACGTAAAAAAAAAAAAAAAAAAAAAAGGTCTGCTATGCTGCTTGATCTTATAATCTGGTATTTGTTGTCATATTATTTTAATTTATTATCATAATCATAAACACACTTGTTTGTAGCGCAAAAACTTTTACCGTTCAGTGCACGGTTATATTTCTAGTTATTTTCTATTATTCACAGAAAACAGTTTAACTTGCGCGTTGCAAAATATGGTGGCTAGTCTAAAAAAAAAGTCTTACAAGTTTCGAACGACATGAAGATGAGTAAATCATAAACTTTTTTATTTTATGGTAAACTACTAAGACACTGTAATAATTTCAAATGTATTAAAAAAAAAAAAGAAAAACTTTTGCTATCGATATGGATATTTAGTGAATAAAAAGGAAAAAGTCGATTTATTTATTTTAATATTTATTATATACAAGTTATTTTAGAAAGCAACTTATTCATGCGAGAATATAGTGACCATACAGCAAAAGTTTAAATTACTCACCTTATCGGCAAACTTTATTTTCTGGGTTTATTTCAAGGCAGCATGACGTCGCTAAAGCTTCTACTCGATCTGGAAGAGAGCATCACTTCTGGTAATCCACTTTTTACCATGGCAACGGCAGAATCTCAGTCGCGCAACAGTGGCTTCATTTACCCGCACGTTTTCACGCCAGTTTAAAACACAAAACGGCGCGGTTCGCCGATCAATATTTCATGTGTAACACCTCAAAAAAAAAAAAAAAAAAAAAAAAAAAAAAAAAAAAAAGAACAACCCAGGAAATTTGTTTGGTAAGCCTTTCTCTGCAAGCTTGTGAACAAACGAGCTTCTCAGATTTCACTCCCCCCTTGACGTAGAAAGGGGATCTTATTATAATATTACGGCCCCTTAATCTGCACGTTTCCACCCATGGTGCTGCCATTGTGTTTTCGCAAGCGACAACGGTGTACCATTCTAACGCCATGGCGAAGGTATGCTAACACATGCTATGTATGTATATACATGCTAGCTGTTCTGTCTTTGGCTGCACTAAGGAGCACAGAACACTGTTTAGAGTCCCAGAGGAGACAAGAGAGCAGTGTATTTATTGATTTATTCACTGTATATTACTCTGCTGCCACACAGATCTAAAATAAACATGCAATTTATTTCCCAGCTGTTTACCTTCACAGACATAACCGACTGTTTTTGTAACTCCTGTGTGGTTTTAACATAAACTTGAGTGTATTTGACAGCTTAAGCGCAATAAGACATGAAAGAGAACTTAGTTTAGTGCTCACATGCTTTCTGTGCATTCGCTTCGGATGTGTGCGCTCAGAAAACCCAATATCAGAAGTTTAAACTAATATGGTTTAAAATGCATGATTTCAGCACGATAAACATGATAATTAAAACCAAACATATGTTTTTTAGCAGAGTATCTGAGGTATGAGCTGTAAAGGCACAGTCCTATTCTGGAAAAGGGGGCGGGGAGCAACAGCTCATTTGCATTTAAAGAGACATGCACAAAAAAACAGTGTTTCTGCTTCCGCTCAAAAAAGGCATTTTTCAAAATTCTATAATAAATGATCATCAGACACATTCTAGGGACACCTGAGACTTATATTACATTGTAAAAAGGGGCATAATATGTCTCCATTAAAATATCTTCTTTTGTGTTCAACAGCTGAAATAAATTCATACAGGTTTAGAGCAACTTAAAGAGTAAATGATGATAGAATTTTCGGGTGAACTATGCTTTTAATAAAATGAGCGTTTAACGTGGACTATAAAGAGAATGACACGGAGGACGCATTGTTAGATGTGCGTTCACCAAAAAGCAGATCCATCTTCATGTCTGAAAGTGTTTTACGATACTTGATGCCCCGTAATGGATTCCTGACAGGCCTCGGGAACAGCAGGTAAGCAGATTCTCATTTACAGAGACCCCCACTGAAAATTAGCATCTTATTAAATTGATTTGATCCATGGAGAGCCGAATGCAGCTCTGTGTCACTTCACTCCTAAATGGATTAGCGCTTTAATGAGTTTATTTGTTCTGGGCAAAGATGCCCATCTGCCTCATATCATCTCCATGACAGTGATGTTACAGTGAAGAGCAACTGCTGACAAAATCAAGCAGATCAAAGGAGCCGAATGCTAATCGCGCTTTAATTGCAAAAAAATATGATTATGACTATGTTATAAAATTAATGGTTGAGATTCCACACATCAGTTGAGTAGTGGCAACCGTAAACATTTTTTAGAAGTTTGCAACTTCTTTAAATGCAACTCATCCATCCAGTCGGAACTACATCATTTTATGAAACATAAAATCACAGCCTTTTGTGGCTTATTGCTTTATTACAGATGCTCTTCATGGCATTTTGCAGGCTGTAGTTAGAGTTTGAGTTACATAAACTGCTGTCCTACATGTCACCAGGGAGATCTGTGTGTCTGTAAAGATCAAGACGACAAATGTCAACCAGTGTCCAACTAAAGAAATGTCTTCAAAGTGCATTTCTATCAAATATACAATATAACCTAAATGTAAAGTGTTTAACCAGCCAAACCTGATTTGGATAAACAGATAGTTTTGCCCCAAACATATGCAATTAACGTTTCTCTGTCAAGTTGATCATTTTATATTTATTATCAAAATATGACATTTTAATAGGACTACAGAGCCCAGTGTTTGCACTTTGGGGGGTAAAAATCTACCGAAAAATGACATACTTGTCTTTGCATGTTAAACTGGGACAGGTGAAAGTATTTTAAGATAGAAACAATGACACGCATCACCTTTAAATCCTGATCTGGTTCTTTAATTTTGTGGGTGTTATCCCACCTCATTGCCATGGATTTAGTACTAAGCTCTTTATCGTGATTTCTGTTCAGCTCTCCTCGTGGTTTATCTACACACTAATCACTCATGGCAGATCCTTTTAACACTGAGACCCTGGTTTATGTATGAAATGTGCAAGTTTGATAGCACACACACAA